ATGAAACAATAAAATAAAACTTGTGTATTAAAAAAGAATCAATGTTAAGAGACTGCTTGATTTATATATATAAAAAAAAACTAAACGGTAAATATATTTTTATGTAAATGCTTCAAAATATAGAAAAAGTTCGAAACTATTTGTTATCTAATCGAAGAGCGCGCGCTGTTAATAATAGCAGAATCTTTAAAAATGAACTAAATGAACCACTGGTTAGTTCTATAGTTCAGTTTTATCTGTTGCTCATGCGAACTTATTCTTGTAGTTCGATACAATTATACACGTGATACATCATGAGCCAATTCACACATTCAATAAAAGTGCCCACCCAATATAAAGCAACAGCCAAGATATTAAAGGCTGCCATTGAGAAACAAAAATCTATAAAATCGTTGATATTTGAAGAAAAGCATGCGGTTAGTAGTGTGAAATTTGGTTCGATTGACAGGCGCTTTGCTAATGAGACCAACTGAATCTTTTCATATTAACAGCGCGTCCGAAGCCTGCAAGCTGTGCTAAAACATTACAGCGACAACAGAGGAGCCATTGACAACGCCATCGAGGAGACGGGACTGCTGAAAGAAAATCCAAACTTGGACTCGTCACTGGCCAAGGTGCTAGTTACTGAACTCATATTCGGACGCGGACAATTAAACGGAGAAAGCAAACCAGTGCAAACAGTGCGCGCGTACAAGGAGAAATTGCAACAGGCAATTAGCGGCTCAGAGCAGCAGAAGAAAGGCAGGTGCTCAAATATAGACGTAGCTGTAGACCACACAGTATTAATTGGCAATGGGCAAAAAGTCGAAAAAGCAATCAGCGCTTGCCGTTGCCCCAGTGAGTTCAGCTGTGCAACCAGAAAAGTCGGAAGTTGAGCCTAACCCCGAGCCTGAGCAACAATATGTGGACAAGAGCTTAGAGGTGTTTCTCTGGCTAATGGCATACAGCGTGCTTATGTTTACATTGCCTTTCCTTGGCTTCTATGGGGTGCGCAGCTGGCTGGAGGAATCCTTTCCCGAACTGAGCACATTTCAAGTGAATTGCTATTCTGTGCTGACGGCCGTGCTGGTGGTCAATACAATAGTAGCTATGTATGTATTGAAGGCTGTCCGTGAAAAGGATCCACCTGCTTTGGCAATTGAGGATGACGACAATAAGAAGGAACAATAGTTTAGTTTAAGCTCAGGCGTAATAAAAGACAGTTTTTGTAACACTTTTCCATGCTTTTCTTTACTTAAACACACAGAGCCCAATCCACGATATGTACGCATCAATACGAATCTGCTCAGTGTCGCCGATGCCCTGGACTACTTGTATGGTGAGGAGTGGCGACGCAAGCAGCTGAACCCAGACGCCACATATGCTGACTTTTTGGCAGCCATACGGGCATTGGAGGAGGACGAGTTCCTGATGGATATGCATGTGGAGGGAGTGCTGATATTCCATCACAAGTGGAGCCATTACTGGGCCTCCCATGAATTCGTCCACGCCAAAAAGTTCATATTGCAGAACAAGGCCACCTGCCTAGCTGCCGAACTGCTAGCCCCTCCAGTTGGATCAACCGTGCTAGACTTGTGCGCAGCTCCGGGCATGAAAACTCTACATATTTGCAATGTGATGCACAACAAAGGGCGGATCTATGCCGTGGAGCAGTCCAAAGAGCGGTACAAGGCCTTGTGCGACATTACGAACGAGGCGGGCTGCCAGATAGTCACGCCCATACTGGGAGATGCTCTAACTATGGGTCAGTAGAAAACTACGAACGATTCACATTCCTTAGCTAACTCATCTTCTCCGACCTTAGATGCCACGAAATGTCCAGACGTCGAGTATATTTTGGTGGATCCCAGTTGTTCCGGTAATGGAATGCAAAGCCGCATCAGCGTCTGTGATGAGCAAAAAGACGACAAACGTCTATACAAACTGGCTGGGCTACAAATCAAGATTTTATCGCACGCCATGAGCGCGTTTCCAAATGTCAAGCGTATTCTCTACTGCACTTGCTCCCTTTGGAAGGAGGAGAACGAGCAGGTTGTTCAGCGCTGCCTCCAGCTAAATCCCTCATTCAAGCTGCTCAGTTGCAAGAAGGCGCTACGAAATAAATGGCAGAACGTGGGCGACAAGGAGTACGTTCAAATTGGCAAGAACTGTTTGTATTGCCTGCCTGACTACGATCTGACCGATGGCATCTTCTTGGCCATGTTCGAGAAACGTCCGGATGCTGACAACGAGTAGATCAGCTAGAGGAAAACGCATATAGTATAATTAAGTACTTTATTTGGCTCTTTTTGCAGTTAATTTCAACTTCAATTTACATAAACTTTTATTAAACTTAATAGAACATTTTGAACATTCTTTGCATTTTTTTATAAAAAAAAGAAAAATAAAATAAAATATACTTTTGTATAACATTTATCATGATTTATAAGTTTTAAAGATCGCCTCATATTAATAAATATATAAAATGGATATATACTGGTAATGAGCGTTGATACATTAAAAAAAAAAAAGAATATATATGAAACATATAATAAAAATTGTTGTTAATCAATTTTTTGATGTCAAAATTTAAAAACTTGTACTCTGAAAAGTCTGCCATCGAAAATATTCATTGCTCTTTTCTTTAGCATTCAAATTAAACTCTATCACGATTGGCAGTTCGAAATTCAAAGTCTTCAATCCAAAAATAATAGATTAAGATATATCAGACCATATTGCAGATTATCTGATCGCTAAGTGTCGTTAGCGTTAATAAAAATGCTGGCACAAATCAATAAGCCAGTGTTTAGACATTTTTATCGGCCGCTACGATTCTACAAAAGTTACGATATCGTAAGTAATTTTATAGTTATTGAATTTTATGAAACAAATATGTTTGAAGTTTGAGCGTGTGTTTTGTTAATGATAACACACTAATCTGACCGAAGTGTTAAAAAAAAAAAAATATAATAAAATCGAACGCGCCAGGCGCATTAAATTATCGCTGCTCATCTTTGAGCATTTCAATGTGGATCACGTATACATATATAATAATATAATCGATATATATATAGAGCTATATATATAGATTATGTACACGTATGAAAAAACTACCAGAGCTTCTCCCACAATTAAACCTTCATTTGCTGCTTGTAGTAATTGCTTTTGGCAAGTCGAAACGACTCGGCCTTAATGGCATCCTCCATTGTGACAATGGGTTTCTTAGGACAGTACTTGATGGTGTGCGCCGAGTCGCCGGATGCCCCACAAATGGGGCATACATAGGTGCGCAGCTTGGGGCACAGCACTCGTCCGTAGGAGTCACGCACCGAATGGCTGTTGACCACAGCTTCCGGTTCATTGTTGTTTTCACAGAAAACACAGTGCCTGGGCACCTGTAGCATGGAAGAAAATACAAAATGATCAGGAACTACGCCGACTATCAAAGATAGCCTTCTACTTACCAATTCCTTGGTCTTGCCATTATTATAGCGCTTATGTAGTTTGTTAGTACTCGCCACGTTCACATTGCTGATATTGCGTACTTGATCCGGGGGCATTGGCTGTCCAACGTTGACGTTCTTTTGAGTGCCCATAGAAACTCCTGTAGTGGTTGCCAAGTTCGGCACGTAGGACATGCTGCGCCACACGTTGTTCAGATGCTCGCGGTAATTGTTGAAATTAAGCCAATGGGCAGCAGCTAGTGTGGGCGGCACAAAGGATACCGCAGCCGTCGCCGAAGCCGTCGAGTTACCAGCTGGATATTGTCGTGGCAGAGGCGACGACTGCGGTGTGACTGCATTTTGATTGTTGTACTGAAAGCAATTAAGCTCATCGCTCACGTATCCATTGGATGCAAACTCCTGCATTGCATCTTGGGTAGATGTACTGTTGTTATCTGGGAAGAGGCATAACATTAATTTGCGCCATTTTTTACTGTCAGCAAACTTCAACATGAATGTCCCGTTGTTGCCGTTAAAAAGTACTTTCTTTCGATGACTGTGACTGTACCGTTGCCTCCCATCTATACCTATCCTACTCGCACTCACCTGTATTGCAGGCCGTTAGCAGAGCAAACATTTTTAATGAATGTGCTATCTCATCCTTTTGCTGGTGATTCGCAGCGGCCGCAGACGCAGCCAAAGCTAACTGATGTTTCGCCAAAGCCAGCTGCTGCTGCTGCTGTTGCAGCAGYAAGTGATATTGGTACTGGCGTTGCAAGAACAGTGTGCTGGCTGCAGAGACGTTCATATTTACTTGGTTGCTGTCCGTCAGCAGGGGAAACTGAGTCGAGGACATCGTAGGTTCCGGTGTCAATGGGGTCGTAGGTGGACTCAGAGTTGCCGATGAAACAGGTGGCGAGACGTTCTGCGACGCCGTGTCCAAGTACATATTAAGACCGCCAATACCATGGAAGGGTGCCATATTGTCCTATCGAAGAAATACAATTAAATTATTTTCAGATCAAAAGCAATCTACGGCTTGCAATGGCGTCCACTTACCATCGGTATACTGCTTTCCAGGCTGTTGCCGCTGCGAAACATGATAAATGCCTAAAACAATGTCTATTGGAATGTAGACAAGTACAAAGTGCCGTTATTGCGCTTTTCGTTTTGCACCAATTCTTTCTCACATAAAATTAAGCTAAATTGTTTCTTTTATTATTATTTCTTGGTTGAAGTATGTTTATGCGCTACTTCTTTAATATTTAATTATGATTTAACTTAACTTCACGAATTAAACTGGCACAAAATTATAATAAATTACTCAAAATTAAAAGATCAGCAAGTGGCGCCAACTACAAAAGCAAATATATGAGTGAGAGTACGCTTCAATTCCTGGAAGTCTTCGGCTAAGCTCGGCGAAATAACGGTTTGAATCGGCGCAATACGCTCAGAGCGTTGCCACATAGTGTCAGAAATGGTAGGCGAAAAGGGAATTGACAAAATACTAAAACAGAGCAACCAAGATATACACATCAATTCATTATTTAATATATCGGTAGTTGTGGCGACAATAACCCGCCATAATTCAATAATTACGATTGCTGCACATACACCCACCATCGTCCCATTGAATCCAACAATTCACACTCCGCTAGCGACCACATACGCTCCACAGCACTGTACTCGTCATTAGCCAACACTGCACGCTCCAAACAGCTGACACTCAGATTCTTATACGTGCGTGTTTCACGGTCCGAATTACATAAATTCGTTGCGATTGACGTGAGTTGCCCAAGCATTCCTTGCATAGCAAAAGTCCGGAAAACTCCACGCAGCAGCAATACCTGTCACAATGGTAGGTTCATACATTATAGTTAGTATATTGCCGTCAACAGCAGGACAGCACTATACATGTGACCGTTTAGAGGTTAAATTTGGTTCGGTTGTAGCCCCCCCGTCATCCTATCACTAATTTATAAACCCGCTCTTTCATTGCAGTACAAATTGGCTGCCTTAGCGCGCGAGCGCGCATGTTTCATTACGTATCAATTAGCTAGCTACAACCTGCAACAACAACCGGTGAGTATCCAACAGTTTAGCTTTTTAGCTAGAGTCAAGATCTGATGTAGCCTATTGTTCGCCCGACTTATAGCAACGGCTCTATAGCTCACCTGGACGCCGGCCCGGATTCTTTTCGCAATTCATTGATAATGTGCGGAGTGAAATGGACAAGAACAAAGAGATGAAGGATAGTATAAAAAAGTTTCGCGAGGAGGCGCAAAAATTGGAACAGTCAGATGCGTTAAAATCGGCGCGGCAGAAATTCAACATGGTTGAATCCGAGGCGCAAAAGTCTTCCAACATATTGAAAGAGCAATTGGGTGCCATCAAGGAAAAGGTCGGCGATGTTCTTGACGATGCCTCCAAATCGGACTTGGCCAAGAAAGTTTCCGAGGAGCTCTCCAAAACGGCGAAGGGTGTCACCGATACTATTACGGATACCAGCGGAAAATTGGGACAGTCTGGCGCCTTCCAAGCCATTTCCGATACAACGAAATTAATCAAAAAGGAAATGAATGAGACGAGCATAGAAAACCGCGTCTATTGCTCGCCCGTGAAGTTGCGAAAACGAGTTCAAGTAGATCTGTCCGATAGCTCGCGGGTTGTAGAGGCTAATACGGAAGCATTAGGTAAGGCAATTAACTGAATTTGTTTTGAAATTTAATAATGATTTACTTTGTAGGCTTGGAGCTTCACAAGGACTCGAAGTTCTACCAGTCGTGGGAGAATTTTAAGAACAATAATACGTATGTAAATAAAGTACTTGATTGGAAAGTAAAGTACGACGAATCGGAGAATCCTGTCATTCGAGCCTCCCGTCTGCTCACCGACAAGGTATCCGACGTGATGGGCGGTCTGTTTTCAAAAACCGAGCTGTCTGAGACGATGACCGAACTAGTCAAAATCGATCCGAACTTTGATCAGAAGCAGTTTTTGCATGATTGCGAAAAGGACATTATTCCCAATGTTTTGGAGGCCATTGTGCGAGGGGATCTGGAAATTCTAAAGGACTGGTGCTTCGAGAGCACGTACAACATAATTGCAACGCCCATAACACAAGCGAAAAAGGCCGGCCTATATTTGGACTCCAAGATCCTCGACATTGAAAACATTGAGCTGGCCATGGGCAAAGTCATGGAGCAAGGACCCGTGCTGATAATCACGTTCCAGGCGCAACAGATCATGTGCGTGAGAGATCAGAAGGGCCAGGTGGTCGAAGGGAACCCGGAAAAGGTAATGCGCGTGCATTACGTGTGGGTGCTGTGCCGTGACAGAAACGAGCTCAATCCCAAGGCCGCTTGGCGACTGATGGAGCTGTCGGCCAACAGTCAGGAGCAATTTGTTTAAACGTGCTGCACACAATTTACCACTAAGCAGTTTAAGTTTCTCATCATCCCAGACACTAGACAGACAAACGACAGACACTTCTACTTTAACGTAGCAGTTGGTTTTCATTTTCTTCATGTGTGCAAAAGTTTCGCTCTTATACTTCTACTACTTCGAAGATTATTTTGCCAACTGCTGGTCGCGTGCTTCTGCCCAGCCAAGCCGGGGCTGCTGGTCGGTTTCCTAGCTTATCTGTGATGCAGTAGATTGCTGGCTTGGCTATGCACCTGGCACGCGGCTCTGACGGATTACGGTCATCGTCGGCCACACTACACCCTGACCGCCCATTCATGGCGCTATATATGTTGTATATTTTATCCTATCTTGTAAGCTGTATATTGAACCGTGAGCTTGGGTGCTCAGAGTGCGGCGTGGCCGGCGGCGCTCGGAGGCCGCAAGTGATTGGCCCAAATTTAAATGTTGAAGCTGAAAGTGCAAGCAATTTGTAATTCTTAAGTTAAATTGTTGAGTATAGGAGATTTGTTATACTTTTAAGGCCAGCCTATGCGAACATCTTAGGCATAGAGATAAATTCACTGTACCGAATAGCTGAAACTAAAGAGCCACATTCATCAATTAACACTTATTATTTGTAAAATCATTGCTACACGTTTTAAAAGTCTAGCATATTTAATAATAAATACAAAAGTCTTTGAAATACACTCAATTGTATTGTTTTTGATATTTTAATTATAATATGGGTTCTCAAAATGTTTAAAATGAAATGTAGGTACGAAATGTACCATTAATATATCAACATTAATGTTGATTCTGAAAATACAGAAATGTTAAAGTTAAGTTCGAAAACAGCTTAGCTATAATAAATATAAAAAAAACAAGTAATTTTGTATAATAAATTAAAACAAGTATACTTATAATAATAAAGAAAAAGTACCAGTAAATTGCAACGGATGTGGCAACGCTTTTGAACTGGTTTTTTTAAACGAAAGAAGTACTCTTTGTCGTACGCTTTATTCATTTAACTTGAACTTGACGTACGCTCTCTCTCTCTCACTGTTTCTCTGTCTTTCGTTCTCAAAAGCTTCTTTAATGCAGACCAACGAAATGCGCTTATTCAGTCTTCAAACGAAACTCATCGTGAGCGCACGCGCAGGAGCTTTCCGGGCTTAGAGTTCGTGAATGATCGAACAGTGTTTTATGTTTAAATAATTGGAAGCTAAATATCCCAAAGCTTACTCACCTAGCTAATAATCAGCTGACGCACCTGACTGAATATTATTTAATTTACGAGCGAGTGATAAGCGAATTAATTAACGATTGATAAAAAAAAAGTTTTCAAACAAGTCAAACGAAAATGCGTGTCAGCAACGGTTTTACATTCTGCAGTCTCTTGCTTTTGGCGCTTCTGACGACGGGTTTCTGTAAGTACATAAACACACAAGCACACACATATATGTATATATGTATGTACATACATCAAGGCATAGACAGATAGCCAAGGCACACTTAAAATATCCACACAGCGTCGCAATATTTATTTTGCCACTCTTATATTTTCTGGAAACTAGTTTCCAATGCAGCTGGAAGGCTGGCCAGAGGCAGATACTCCCGATCTTACCCTTTGCCTTCCACGTTAACATTAACGGGTATCTGATGCGGGTCCAGCTTGCAAGCCCAGTTTACAGCGCATAAATATGGCTTTTTATTATGCCAATTTAGTCGGTGGCCAAGAGCCCAGAGCACTTAATATCAAGGTCGCACTTATAAAACTCATATATTTAGAGATGTTATGTTATGTGTAACTGCGTGCCTCGGCTTCCTTATAAAGTTGCCCTTCTATTAACCTGATAAGATAATGTTCGCGATTCTGATGACATGCACTGCCTATGATAAGCCATTGATTCATGCGTAATGTATTTTTATTGTTTTACCATGCCATTTTCTTACAGTTACTATTCCTCATTAGCAACTAAACAGTATTTATTCAAGGCCCACAAATGGACATATTGGGGGCAACCTTTATTTGAATTATTCGCAAACCTTAATTTCTCCACGCGTTTTCGGGGCGATTTATGCGCGTCTTATGCGTTTCGCATGCCAAACAGACTTGAGAAACAAACGCGACTTTATTATTATGAATGTGTTTATTTGCTTGTGTCATCTAATATACAAAAGTATATAGAAGCATATGTATATATGTTTGAATGTGTCTGGCACATATGGACTGGTTTCGTTATTAAGCTTGCCGGCTGAGTTTGTCGGCTCTGCTTATTTCTTTGTTTGCCCAAAAGCATCTCCATTAAAAAAAGGCCAGTATCTTCTGAGAAGTCGGAGCTCAGAATATGTTTCTAGGCAAGATAAATATTTAGATTGGCCCAATAAAAATACATATGTAGGTGCGAATTGTTTTAGAGTCGCACAAGTTGTGCAAATATTTATAAGCTGTCTGTGGAAGAGATGCCTTCCAAGGAAAATGCCATGACCAAGTATTTTTTTTTTATTTTTATTTTTTTATGTATATTTATAAATCTTGATCTTTTCTGCTTAATTGCGTTTCTTACAGCTCATGCCAAACCCTTGGAAGAACCGAAGAAAACTGACACCGAGCTAAGTGATTCGAATGGGCAGGCAGCCAAAAATAAAACAGCTGTCAGCGCTGGCGAGGAGGTAAGCTAATCCTTAACGAGACCCCGAGTAACTGGGACACAAAAATCACACAAAAGACCGGCCTCAAGTGAGGTGCCTGAATGCCTGACTGACTAACTGACTAACTGTCAGTCTGGCTGGTTGACAGAGCGGCAGACACAGCTGTAATGTAATGTGATATGATGGCTATGCAGCTCGGCCGGTTTATTATTAAAACAGAACCGGAAATTTACGCTTTAAAGACATATTTTATTTATTTTCACTTTGATTAAATGCGAAAACCGCAATAAAGACACGCGCGCGCCGCTTGCCTTATAAGGCTCAAACGCACGTTACGACCATTTGCATGAAATTAAAAAAGAGAAAAAGAAAAACAAAGCTGAAGAAGTCTCCGATGAGGGTTTTTAGCGTCTTAGTCACGAAATTCCGTAAAAAATTGAGTTATAATTGAACGAGACAATGTGGATACCCCAACTGCTTCCACCTGATCAGCGAGCTTCGTCGTCATGGCTATGACTCAGCCTAAGCTCAAAGCCAACAGCCCAGAGCCCAGTTCGAATCGCTTTAAAGCCGCATTCTAGGTAATTTCTGTGACGTCTAAATGCCGCATTCTTGGCTAAACAAACTAAAGTTTGAGGCTACTCGCATATGATTTCACCTGTTCAAATAGCGGATCACTTTCCACCCATAAAATAGTCTATAATTTTTATTGCAACTTATGATAATATTTTGTTATGGCTGTCGCTACTGAATAATTGAAGCGCGTCTGTAGAGAAACATGATCTGGAAAACAGAATAATGACAAGTCACGTAGCAGCATTTGTTGTCGAGAACCAACAAGTCGACTTTATTCAATTACACCGAGACCTGACCAGACCAGACCAGACCTGATCTGTTCGCTTTAACTTACAACCTCTGGGTCAGTCGAAGGCCTAGAGAATAGAATATGTTATACAATCCGAATGCGAAATTGCAACATGCAACGTGTTCCTAATAACAGCAATCATCTATTTGCTTAAGTTCAAGAGTTGACGATACTTGGAAAGGAAAAATTGCAATTATATATGATGCATATTTGAAATGTTTTAGTTCAAGGCTTACATACACTTGGAAAGGAAAATTTCAATTATATATAGTTAATATTTGAAATGTCAAGCTCTTTCACTTCCGTACCAACATATTATTAATCAGAGTACATAATTGGAATATTTATTTAATCTCAAAGGTTTGATATAAAATACTTTTTATGCAATTAAGCTAATAAAATACAAAGCTCTTTAATAGAGTAAACATTAAATAAATAAGTTACTAAGTCACGCCATTGGGCGTGACTAATCTGGAACATTTATACCTGGTACTACAAATAAAGTGAAATTAAAGCCTCAGGTCTTTTTGGAATTTTAACCGCTTAATCGCGAATATCAACCCTCCGGATGTGAATGAGTCACCATTGATATTACCCGCATATATGTATGTGTAAACCTTTTAACTGATTTGGGGCATAAACAGGAAATATCGATGTTTGAATATATTTAACTGCTTTTGTACCCAAAATCAAAGAAGAGTATTATAAATCCACTTACACCGTGTACAATATTCTCTATTCTTACTAGCGTTGAATAACACTCAATTCATATTGGATCTTGTAATGAGCTGCGCGAATGCTGAATTAATTAATTCAATTTAAAAACAATTAGTTGCCAAGATTGTGACGCTAAGTTGTGAAAACTGATCGAGCATAAATTATATGGCATGCAAGCCATTGAAAATGTTGAAATTGAAATTTACTCACGTGCCAACATCGACCCACATGCAGACGGACAGACAGACAGACATGTGTACGCCCAAATTAATATGCCTTGCTTCGTTATAAAAGGGTATCTAACGGTTCTATTATTTTTTTTTTTTTTTTGTATTTATAGCTAAAAACTGCAACGAATTTGGCGCTTGCTGGCAACTATAAATACGACGTGGAAATACTTGAGTCTGGCGACAACGAGGATGAGGATCGGGAGAGCAGCGAGGAGCTGGAGGAGCGTTTCAAGGGCCACGGCATATTTGACACGGACACCGATACTTTCATAGCTGAAAATATTGAGATGACGCCCGTGAATGTGGAGTCGAGTGCCATTAGCGAGAGCCACATGCTGCTAAGCATTGTATTGGTCGTCGTGGCTTTGGTCTCGGTGTGTCTATACGCCGGACTCGTTATATGGAGATCGCACCTGGAGTACGTAGCACAAGTCTCTTAATATTGTATTTGTACGATTCTCTAATCTATGATCTCTTCTCCAGGCAACGCTATGGCATGCGCGAGAGACTCGTTAATCGAGATGTGGACGAGGAGGGCGTTGACGACCCAGACTTTCATGTAACATATCCTCACACACTGAGCCCCTACGCGCCAACGACGACGACAGCTACGACGAGATCGTAGTCTGGTGTGGATAATTGTGTAGGATGAGATTCATTAGCGCTTAATTATATTTTAAATTGCACTTGATAGCGTCGCCTGCATTCACACACCTGTGCGTGTGTGAGTGAGAGGTGAACGAGTATTTCGTGTGAATTATTAATTAACTAACACATACATAATCGCGCATTAAATAACAATACTAAAGTTCATCTTAGAATATGAGGGTCGCTGAACTGTAAAAAGTTTTCACCCGCAGTTGGACATGCCAATTAGTTTTAAGCTTCTGTGATATTGTTCTAGAGACTCTTTTTATATTAACATCATGCTCAGAGTCAGAAACTTAAGTATTTTGTAAAAAAAAAAAACATAAATTTTAAAAAGGTGCATTAAACGAAATCAAAATCAAATTTATCTAAGAGATTATTTTTGAAATTACCGAAATACATAATTAAACTTGCTCTCTTGCGTGTACAGACTCAGTTTTGCGTAGATGAGCGCGTCACCTGTTAAATAATAACATAACTGTAGGATTACAGGGCGTATACTGCATGCAAAGTTATTGGCAGATTGTGTGGAAAAATATACACATAGAAATATATTTATACGGCGATTGTTTAGTTATTTTCAAATACATAGTAAGTTCACAAACTTGTATAAAAAATTATAATGTATCGCAAATAACTTTGAATGGAAAATTCCTGTTAACATATGTGCTCCTCTTTTGCCGCAGCTACTCCACAGCTAACAGACTCATGCAACAGCTGTTTTTCTTAGCAATTTGCACTTTGAACTTGTGCTTCTTCCGTCAAAGTGTGTCAAACTTGAATACGCGTGTTTCGATCTATATATCTGCACTGGTGGTGTTTGCCCTAAATTGCCATTCAATACTCTCTGCTTGACTCAACATAAGGTGCGCGCTCTTAAGCTATAAAGTAGGTAGAATGCTGCAACTGTAATACTAGCCGGCAACAGGGGCAACATTTTGCCACAGTATGAAAGTGTTCTAAGGCAACTCGTATTCTCATCGGTATGACTGTTAATTGGCAGCTCTGTTCGATGTCTGCTTCTTCACTCGCACAGCTGACAATGAACTGTAGCGTGTTATTGCTCTTCTATCGCACTTGCTTCGAACATTTGTCCCCCAGAATGCACAAGTCCTCGCGAAACCGAAGCAGCCACGAGAGCAGCTGGACCCCTCTCGTATATTTACTTAGATTATGCTGCCGTTCGAATACGAACGCGATTGCGAATGCGAATGCGCACTCTAGTCGAACAGTTTCATTGATAAGAAAGCAAGTGAAAGTCTCTCGGCAGAGACACGAGAACGTCCGCCAGTACACAATTGTCCGTCGCTGTCGCTGCAGGCAGAGCATTGCGCAGAGCAGCGTGAAGTGTGTGCAGTGTGAAGATTGTATCTGAATAGTGCGAAAGCTCTGACGCGCTATCCGTGTAGCTGTAGACGCGGCTTGCAGCACACGTTGTGCTGTAATTAATTTAGTTGCGTGGCTTAATTTTGTTGCCGCTGTTGTCGCTTTGATTGTTCAAGTTGCCGTTCGCTTTTTAGCAGTGTATGCCTGTGTGTGTGTCCGTGTGTTTATCCCTGCAGCTGCGCGTGCATGTGTGTGTGTATGCGTGGGCGCTTTTGTATCAATTAACGGTATAAGCAAGGCATCGTTTTCGACGCTATTGTTTTTGTGCTTCCTTGCGTGCTTCCTTCACCCGCAGCTCGAGCCCGTGTCCGTGCCCGTGCCAAAGGCAGTATTTAGACAACATTATCAGCAGGCAAACGACAGGAAAACAGCATCATGACGCACTGGGAGGACTTCTACAATACACATCTGCCACCCGCAGACTTCGAGGATAATCGTTCGCTGCTCAAGGAGTTCTGCGAGCGACACAATAAGCTCCAGAACCGCATTGTGCTCGTCACGGTAAGCACTCGCTAATCCCAGCCCTCTGCCTGACGACAGCTCCAATCCCCATTAAGCCCCTGTTAATCAACTGACCAGCCCCACTTCTAACCCGCAATCCATATCTTTCGCACAGTCGGGCGGCACCACTGTCCCCCTGGAGCACAATACGGTGCGCTTCGTAGATAACTTCAGCGCAGGCACGCGTGGTTCGGCGAGTGCCGAGTACTTCCTGGATCATGATTATGCCGTTATCTTTATGCATCGCCACAAATCCCTGGAGCCCTTCACGCGCCACTTTACCGGGCAACAGTTCTTCGACATGCTCGACATAGCGGACAACAGCCAGAGCTCCACGATTGCCATTAAGCCGGACTCGGTGGATGTGTTTGCGCCCGTACTGGCGAAATACAAGATTGCGCGCGAGACCCAAATGATTCTCTACGTCAACTTCACCAGCGTCGTCGACTACATGTGGCTGCTGCGCGCCGCCTGCGAGTGCCTGGCTGCGTTCGAGGAGCGCGCCGTGTTATATTTGGCCGCTGCCGTATCAGATTTCTACATACCCGAGGACATGATGGTGAGTCGAACCGATGGCACGGTTGGTCATATGGGAAATCTTGTAATTGATTGCACTCGTCATTCAATGACTGGCGTCGCCATTGCCCATCGCCAGTTGCCTGTAAATTGCTTTTTATCGATTCGCCATGTTGATTGTGGGCTCTGGGCTTGACATATTTTCTCTGCACATATTTGACGTCAGCCCCAGTAGGAGCAGCAGCTGTAGCAGGAGTAGTGAGGCTCGGGAACAAGGGAGAACAGCTGTAAGGGATAGAAGAAGGAGCAGCAGAGGCAGTAGTAACAAGACTCGGGAGCAGTCGGCAGCAGCTGTAGTGGGAGTAAAGAAAGTGTCAACTATATTAGAAGTGACTGAAGGAGCAGCATCTGTAGTAGTAGTAATAAGGCTCTGGAGCAGTTGACAGCAGCTGATGTGGGAGTACCAGCATGAGTAGCAGTAGCAAAGCTCGGAAGCAGTGACAGCCACTATAAGGAATAGGAGGAGGAGCAACAGAGGCTGTAGTAACAAGGCTCGGGAGTAGTCGTCAGCAGCTGTAGTGGGAGTAGGAGAGCGAGCAGCAGTAGCAATACTCGGGAGCAGTCAACAGCAGCTTAAAGTCAACTATTGCTCCCGACAAGCTGTTCCCTTGCCTCAGCATCAGATGCCTGTCAACGGCAGAGACTTACATAGTCTGCTCCCACACCGACAGCCAGATACATGGCTGTCTATCCTATCTATTGGCGTCCTTGCAGCAGCCTTTCTACTGTCATCGTGTCTTTAATTTGATTTGCATAATTTTGCTTGTTATGTGACCATGTGGCCATGTGGCATGTTGCATGTAACCACTTCCCATCCACTGCCCAGTCAGTCTTCATTTTCATTTCACTGTTACACTGATTTACATGTTCATGCAGCTTTCGTTTGCATCCTTTGCCTGACATAGTCTACCTGTCTCTTTTACCTGCATCCACCACAATCGTTCTGCCTGTCCACCTGTCTCCTCCATTTGCTGCTCTTCCTCCCCCCTCCCCCTTCGCGGCCTGTCAGCTGACTCTGTAGCGCTCACATATTCAGGTGCTCAACGGCAAAAGGTTTTCAAGTACATGCATCAAACGCTCATTGCTGGAGGCGTTCGCCGTCGCGCCGCTAGCTGCTTGCAATTTTCACCTACTCTACGCAAACATACAGACAGTGAAATATAGTATATACATACATATATATACATATGTAGATGTGTGGTGATGCAAGTGTTGGGGCAGGTAAACGGAAAGTTTTCCACTTGTCGCCCACCTTTCGTTCGTTCAGCCTCTCAGCTCCTCCGTGCTGGCATTTGCAACGCTCTATTTCCGTTTAGCTCGTGCATTTCCGCTCGGCCTCATGCTTGAGGCGCTCCCCGCCGTGTCAGTGCGTGGTTGTTGCTCTGGTGGTTGCTGGGGCGTTAGCCACAAATCGTTCGCTTGATTGAATTGTTGAATGTGCTCGGCAAACCCTTCGCCTGGCTCCTCCCAGCCCCATGATGAATATAGCCCGATGATGTGTGTACATTGAAATTTATGCGCATATCTTAGGCTAAGCTCTACCCTGGCATTCTAGCGAAGGTCCTTGCTGCCTGACGGCTGATTTGTCAACAGAAATGCGCATAGTTTGCATAATACCCGAGTGCATCCACACAGGATTGCCTGTGCCACAACCACAAGCTCATCCAAACGGGGCTTAAATATCGCTTGGATACATGTGCGCTAAGTGGAAAACAGAAACGCCGGCTTTCACCTGAGAATTCCTTAAAATGTTTACAGTTCAGTTAGCACTTGCACGAGCGTTTTACAGCCACTTGCTTTTCCAGGCTCAAGGACAGCATTTAATTTCGCTAAGGCAAAAGGCCTTCCACCTTAAAGTAAATTTATGCAAATGTGGCAAACAAGTTGATGTTTCGTAAGGATGTTGTGGGGGCAAACACCGTTGCTTAAGTAAATTCTAATAAGCCAAAAACAACACGAAGAAATTATAAATGTAAACTACACGAACAGAATGAAGCCAAGACAAAGTAAGCAAAGAGTGAGAGTAAGAGCGAGCGAGAGAGGGAGATGGATGGCATTAACACTGGGAGCAAACAGAAAAGGCAACGTGCTCAAATCCTCAAATCAAATCAAAAGATTTTACAAGAGCACGCATGAACGCACATAAAGAGACAGCGACTTATACAGTTATTCTGAGACACTATTACTCACTAATACACACACGCACACGGACAGTCAGCGATTTGGTGGGTACAATGACACAGCCTCAAAGCACAATGAGTGCGAGCGAGAGAGCAAGCGAATCTGCAAGGGAAAGGGAATATGAATAAGTAACCAAATTCAATGTCAACAGCTGTTGGCAGTTCTTAAAAGCAAGCACAACAAGTAAGAGCCGTCTAGCTCGAGTCAGCGCGACAATGGGAAACCCTGTAAATTGTTGTTTCTTCAAGTATTTTGCTTAGAATAGCAAAATTGAATAGAGTAAACTCTTTAATGTCTTTGTTCAAATTAGAATGTGATACTTGAAACGGAGCTATCGGATTGTATGGGATACATGTATGTGTGTGTATACATATATACAAATGAGTTTTGAGGTCTTTGCGCTTAGTTTCACAGAGAAAGTTTATTTAGTTCATAGTGCGAATTGATTTCGTCATTTACATCATAACTAGATAAGCTTTCTATAATGTCAAACTAGTTCGGTTGGGCGACACTATCGTAGAGTATAATGTTTTACATTCTTTTCCCCTTCTAGCAGTACATAAATTTGCACAAAATTGAACTACCCCATCTACTCTCCGAGCATAGAGCATAAAAACTTATTGCCTCAAGCAGCTTAAAGTTCGAATTAGCAGAAGAGTCGACTGCGACTGCGACTGCGACGACAACGACAACGACGGCGACGGCGACTGCGACAGCGACGTTGGCGTTGCGCAATTGTCAATGTCGCTTTGGTTCGTCTTCGTTGTCAGGCTTAATGCCTTGCAGCTAGGCTTTTCATTTCGTTCAGCCGCCGCACAATGTCCTGGCTACTTAGCTTCGTCCTTCTAGCTGTCCATCCTGGCTGTCTGAAAACTGCWTTGTGCGCGCACTGAATGAATGAATGAATGGTCAGCAATTGAAAAGGAGCTACCCTATCTGGGCATAGGGTATAATGTTCAACAAGTCGTCGGACATGTGCCAAAGGCAGCGCCCCCCGCAACCGCACCCGCACCCTTAGTCGACGCGTCGTATGTGTGGCATTTAAAGCGTCTTTAAGTCTGCTTTTGCGGCAAATGAGCAGCGCGGCGACTCACTCGTCTCATTAGGACTGAAATATGCTTTCAATTAGTTGTAATACATTTGCCATGTGGCAAGCGCCAAGAGCCAAGTGCCCGCAGCTTATGCGAGGAGGGGCTGGGGGTGTTAACCCTGGCCTTTCACTGTGCCGCGGCGCTGTCTGCGCGCAAGGACACATGAACTAGCTGTCGGTTCGTTAGTCCCCGTGAGTGTATATGTGTGTGTGTGTGTGTGTGTGTGTATTTGCATGGGCGTGTTGGCACTCCCTTTGGCTGTTTTTGCAATCTCATGGCAACATTCATACGCATCGTTGACTTGTCATTCCATTAATATGCTAAACCGCTCACCGTTGCAGCCCACACACAAAATGCAATCGGGAGATGGCGCACCGACCATATCGCTGCAATTGGTGCCAAAAATGTTGGCGCCGCTCGCCAGTCTGTGGGTGCCACACGCTTTTGTGGTGTCCTTCAAACTGGAAACGGACGAGAACCTATTGATTGTCAAGGCACGCGACAGCCTCAACAAATACAAGCATAAGGTAAGTGCTGTCAATCAGACACGCCAGCAATCCGAGCAGCAATCTCACCACTAATTTTCTCTCTCTCTCCCTCTTCCACTTAACCTTTGTGTCCGTAGTTGGTGATTGCCAACGTCCTTCAGACACGCAAGCACCGCGTTGTCTTTGTAACTCCAACAGATTCCTATGAGCTGCATTTGAGTCGCGAGCAGGCGCTGCAGGGCCTGGAAATAGAGGAGCCCATTGTGGCCGATGTGGTAAGTGTGAACGTGCCTAACAACAACGACAGCAACTGCCGGCTGAACGCGTGTCTTCATTCAATTCGCAGGTGCAGAAACACAGCGACTTCATCAGCAGCGCCCAGCAGCGACAATGACCGTTGTCGATGCGCCGCCGGCAACACCAGCAACAGCAACACCAACAGCACCAACAGCACCAGCAGCAGTACCGCCAGCTGGCAATTGGCGGCGGCAGCAGCAGCAGCAACGATGACACCGCCGAGGCAACGGACTATTGCGTGACCAGTTCGCATTATTGTCGCGTCCTAAATCCTGGCACGCCAACTTTCGGCCGCAAATATTGAGCAGGTTATAGCGCCAAGTCCATTTGCATAGCCCTTACCTTTAAGTTGTAGTTATCTATACTATTTATGGTTAATATCTATCTATTTATGGTCACGCCCTAGTTAGCCCGACCATAATTGATGGAGATGATGGTGGTTAACATGTTTTGTGTTTTGTATGTATGTTTTATTTTTTGTACTTTTGTTGTTCGTGTACATTTGGTTTATTGCTGCCTGTTTGAAAAATGATGTCACCTACATAACGAATTGTCTTTTCCTACGCTCGAATCCCATTTTGTCATTGCTGTCATCAAGCATACGCACCGTGTTTCCAGCACTTTGGCATTAATCTGAGATCATCAATTATCTGTTTTGTTTATGCTTGAAAGGGGGCAGAGCATCGCGTAACTACCCACCCACCCACTCACACAAACACACACACACACCCCCACAGTGTGCACCTACACTTATGCAACGGCTTCATGAAACAGCAATTTGCAGGCTGGCCCTGGCGGCTGTCGTTTGCAGGCATTGCGACAATTGATTTACAAGCCGTGCATAGCAATAACTACAACAACAGCACCAACATAAACAACAACAGCTGTAGCAGGACCTGCCAAATGTCCTTGGCTGTGGAAATTTATAGTGGCGTATACTTAATGCCTTGACGCTTGTCTGGCTCAAGCAGGTCAAGTGGCGTCTAAAGGTCAGTTTCAAATACACTACACAACACACTTAACGCACACACATACACACACACAGCATGAACTTCTGACAGCTGCCAGCGGCAAATTAAAATTTAATTGGGTAAAAAAAAAAAGGAAATGAAAAACAACTGAACAGCCAGCAAGGAAAACTAATTAACGCAGCGCCCGCAAACCGAGGGCCACAACACGGAATACTTGTGTAGCGAGAACAAAGCGGGAACCAACGCAGACAGCGCGGACCGTAGACAGTGGCAGAGTACCGCTTGGTCCTTGGGTTTCGTTTTTTGGGTTCTGGGCTACTCGAGTCTTGTGGCAGCCTTTTTTGCACATGTTTATTGCATGTTCTGTTGCTGGCGCCTTTTATCTACGGCTTTGCCGCCTAATCTACCTGCCTTAACTGTTCCCTGGTTGTGGCGTGTGCGGCCGAGGGTCCAAAGCCGACGCCACTTCCGGCCACATTTTCGGTTTTTGTTTCAGCCCCAAACTAGGCAACAAGAAATTTGCTGTTTTTTTTTTTTTTTATTTGTACCCTGAACCCATTGAAAATGGGAAATCAGGGTATAATGGTTTTGTGAAAAGTGTATAACATGCAGAAGGAATCATCGCAGACCCCATAAAGTATATATATTCTTGATCAGGGCGACGATCTGAGGTGAGGAGGAGGCTGTCCGTCTGTCCATCCGTCGGTCCGTCCGTATGTGTGCGTCGATCTCAGAAGTTACAAGCTATAAGTTTGCATGTAGACTCATGTATGCCATACGCAGTACAAGTTTATCATATTTTTTCGATAACTCATCCGATAACTTTTTTATCGAGAATAATCGAAAAATTATTTTTTTTTCAGCTTAATTTAAACACTTCTAGACTTGGAGACTTCATATTTACTGTGTATACGCATATGATGAATACAAAGATTTTGTAATTAACAGATTTTGGATACAACGCCCCCTTCGCCAGCAATTTCTAATTTCTTATTTCAAGTACTAGAGATTTGTGCTTTGGAATGTACATATGATATATATATATATATATATATATAGCTATATGATCACCCTCTGAAAGTTTCATGAAGATAGTCTTACTACAAGAGAAATTATTCAACTTATAAATTATCATAAATTCCCCCACTGCAGCGCAGCCCAAGCGCAGTCGCTGCTAGCTGCCCAGTCAGCAGAGCGCGTGATTATACGTGTGTGTATGCATGTTTGTATAAAAGAAGTGCAGAATGAGTAGAACATCAGCTTAGAGGGTTCAGGGTATCTGCTAGTCGAGCAGTCTCGACTGGAGCCTGCTTGTTTTCTGTTGCTGTCGACTCGTTTGGCAGCTGTAGCGTAATATTTAACAACCTTTTTTCTTCTCCTTAATGCCTGTGCGTGCATAGGTGTGTGTGTGTGTGTGATGGGCTGTGCTGATGCGTGTGTGTGCTTGAGTGTGAAAATGTACATCAAATTAGATTTTATTGCGTTCACACGTACAGGACGCAGATACACTAACATGAACAGGGAAGGGCAGAATGAAGGGAAGACCCAATTTTTATGCCAGAGGCAAGCGATCCAAATTTATTATTGGCGAGTTCTCTTTGGCCAAAAAACTGTCTCCGGCCTGCCTTCAGTGTTGTCTTGCGATCCGTGACGAATGCCCTTGAAAATTGGGGGAATTTTGTGACACTGAAATATACATGCATATGTATTTATCTAAAGCTCCAGGCCTAACATATTGGACACATATGTTTAGACATAAAAAGAAGCCTACTTTAAGCTTATAGCCGGCTGCCATTTTTCGTATTTGCTGGATTGTTTTTATTGCGTTTACATGGCCGGAGTGAAACACACACACGAGCATGCACACACACACACACACAGACCTATTCACATRTCAAATGGACGCAATTCCTGCAGGCAGTTTTGTGTGCTGCCACGCCCCCTTCACCCTCAAACACTGACCCCAAAGTCTCCTGCTGTTGCGCTGCCTCCGAGTATCGATTGCGCATTTAAAATACGTATAAACATAAAAATTCAGCTCACAAGCTGAATGACGTACAATGAAATATGTATACGAGGTTTGTGCAGGTAATTAGCCAAGAGTGGGGAAAGTGTGCTGATTAGGCAGCTTAGAGACTATGCTGGAGTCGCAACTATGGCGAGCGAGCGTCGTACTCATTTAAAGTTAAAGAGTTTATGTGTAAATTATGTAAAGAACTTTTCATATCCGTTTTTATGACTGAATTCCCATTTCGATATTGAAAATTTGAGAGCATTGTAATCTGTTTGTATGTGAGTAGTGATTTTTTAGAAAGAGTATCGAAAGTCCTACTAATAAATTGATGTAAAACGAGTATACTTAAGGCATCTAATTTAAACTTTCTAAGTATATAAATACAGATATATAGAACAACTTCTGTCCTAACACTTAAATAGATAAGATATGTTTTGAAGAAACTATTACGAATTGTTTTCAAAAACACGTTAGGAAAGAAAACTCAAAATGATTCGCATCGTCTAAATTCAAATTGTCAGAACAGAAACAGGTTAAAAAGAAGAAGAAGAAAGAAGATTATAACCAACAGAAACAAAAAACGAACCAATTCTTCAATGTTTTAATATTCTGAGCAATCGGACCAAAAAATACAAATCAAATAAAAACGAAATAGAGTTTGAAGTATACATATATCAGAAAATATTTTACATTAAATTGATAAATAAATATATATATACAGCATAAAGAAAATAAATATATATACTATATACACGTGTGGATTAACATTATAGATAAGTATTTATTAAATAAATCTAACTGTAAACATATATAACTCTATATATATTCTATACAAATTGCAAATTTATATCTAATTGTTATTCAACTAAAAATGTGGAATCGAAATTGGAAGAAACCCCTTTGCAGCAATCTATTTATTGTTGAAAGCTCTAAACAAAAAGAAATATTTAAATATTATTAACTTTCCAAACTAATCGTAATAACATGAAATCCAACTAAATCTAAAACTAAAAAAAAATAAAAAATGCAAAACTGTTGTAAATTTTGTTTGGTTACGGAAATTGATTGATATATGAACACTAAATGTATTTCTATGTATGTATGTCTATGAGTCAACATGTGTATAAACTGAATATTCAAAAAAAAATATATGTATGTATATATATAAATA